TCGAAAAGATTTCTTTTAAATATACAAACGGATAAAAATATTTTTAATTAAATAATAATTTACATAAATTAATAAAATATATCTGTTTATTCTTTATTTAAGATAAATAATTACTATCTCTCAATGTGCGTGCATATGCACCCGAAAAATACGCGTAGAAAAAAGATTTAAATAAAAGTTTTAAATAAAAGTTTTAAATAAAAATTTTAAATATTTAATTTTTTTAATTCAACGATGTAAGCACAGTTTCTAACAGCTAAGTTGAAAAACTATAAAATAAAAAGAAATCAGGGATCGATTTTACATGTCATCGATATTATGGATTGGACCCACCCTCTGGATCGATAAAAAATTAATAATATTTTTCGATTCTAACAAATGTCGTGTCTTGAAGAATGTCTTATGAAGGAGAATCTACAAAACTGTCCATATTTTTTATTAGTGGACCAATTTATTTAAGTATTGTCAACTGTTATTTTAAACAACTTCACATTGTAAAAAATTATGCGAAATTTATCACCATAAAATTATTTTTTATTTTATCTTAATTTATTTAAAATAATGGGAGCATATAATTTTGATAACAAGGACAAATTTAAATTAACTTCTGCATGAAAGATTTTACAAGTAGAATAACTAAGCCGTTTGGTTGAAGAATTGGTTACTGTTATCGTTCTCAATTTAAAAAAAAATTATTAACGGTTTTCTACTACCTGCTGTGCGGATTGAACCGTATAACATATAGAGGGAGAATTTTGTGTTTCAAACACTGGGCCATCACAGAGAAGCCGAACGTCCGATTTAAAATCAAGAATAAATAAATTATAGAAACTAAATTAATTGCTTTTAAGTCAGTAATGAAGCGCTCGGAAATGGGCTTGTTTTTGTTTTGCTTTTTGTTTTTAGGTTTTTTTTTTCTTCTGATTGTAATTTCTAACTAAACGATCGAAAGGACATCAAAGTGCTTGTATCGATAGTCACTTGTTGTGGAGATTGTAGCCAAAATTAATTAGAATCGAACGATCGTATCGGAACTTCAAGGCGGGGAGGAAATGGTTTTGCAAAATATGACAGAATCAAGATACACTCTAATAAACGAACGTAAACTGAAATTGTATGTTCGTCAGCGTTGAAATCAAAATTTTTATAAATTTGATTGGTTGATAAATAAAAAAAAATAAAAAAAAAAACAAAAAAAAAAACAGGCTATAAATTAATCAAAAAGGTTCAAGTCACAAATTGTACGATTTAGAGAATACGTATGATTGTTGGTTTTAAAGAAAACAACATTTTGCCGTTACTGCCTGCACGTACGAAATAATTATGGTGGAGTAGTTTTCTTAATCTCACACTCCACGACACACAGACTCGAGTTCGCTACCTGTTGCTTTGGTGGCGGTAAAATGGTCGAATCTAAATAGCTTGTCCATTTAAAACACCACATTTATTTTCGAATTATACTCTTTTCCCCACACCCACGGGTGGTTGCCAGCAATTAGTTGTCGCCAAACAGATAACTGTTTCAGTTCCAAATAAATTCCGTGTATATACACGTTTGATTGTGTACATGTCTATTTTAATTCAATAATTCATAATTATTTCAAGCATCTTTTTTTTTTTTTAAAATTCTTTGAAAAATAATTCTATTCGTAACCGAAAGATATCCCAATAAATTTCAAGAAAATCTCATAATTTTGCAGTCCGGATGAGTCGAATGTTGAATTGTATGAGAATTGTATGAGAATTTCCGGGTTTTATTAGCTGAGGACCTCAAATTGATTGAATAGCGGAGGAATTGTGGACTTGCTTTTGTTCAGCACAATCTTGCAGGGTCGCCAATAATCTTTAAAATCAAACTTACGAGATGCAATACGTTGTTTCATTCTATCAGCAAATAGTAACATTGCTGCCTTGAGGACACGCTTGCACTCATTTCGGGTAGAGACAAAGAAACGTCTGTTACAATCAGACATGTCGCTTCGGTACAGACGGAAGAAGTGATTCCTATAGGCTATATCAGCTGAGCAAGCAACTGAGAACCAAGCAGATGGGCGCGATTTAACGCTATATTTTCTTTCTGGGATGAAAGCCTCGATGACAGCTTTTAACCAGGAGACCTCAGACGCACATTTTTGAAAGGGGTGATGAAAACCCACATTCCAGGGGACGTCGCGAAGGAAATCACGGAATGAATCCCAGTCTGTTCGTTGATGACAGAAAGATATTCTGTTAGTAGGAGGGTCTTTGCTGAAGGGTAGGGGGGGCTATAAGGAGATATTAACAGACACTACGTCAGGATCAGAGTTGCCAAGAAAACTGAGCTGCATAGCACGACAAGTGTCGAGGATGGAGGTAAAACAAAGATCGGGAAGGGAAGCGTTACTGTCAGGGTTACTGGAGAAACATGTAGGAAAGTCAACCAAGTGTGAGGGATTGAGTGAGTGAAAAGTTAAGGGTTTGTATGCCAACAAGGTCAGTTACAGAGTATTTAAGCCACATTGAATGGTGGGTGTTAGTCACTGAACTCGAATATGTGCGCAAACGGAAGCAGAGAGATTATCAGAAATGCTATCGACTACACCGCAGTCCAAGCAACATGCAAGTCTATGAGCAACGAGCGTGGCACTCAGAATTGAAAGTGAAAGATAAAGTTTCAACTTAAACTAAGTTGCAAACATGCACTTCTTGTTGAATTCAAAGCACTCCCCGAATGTGAGCCAGGAATTAAAATAACGTCCAATATTGCATGAGCCAGGAAAAAAGGGGTAGACTAAATTCACTTCAATTAAAAAAAAATTGAAAAAAAGAATTAGTACCTGGAAAAAAAAGAAAGAAATAAAAGAAGAAAAGGAATAGGTAAATAAAATGATTAAGAATGAAATTCAAAGAATTTGGTTTGGTTTATTTTGTTTTACGGCATATCAACCTCAATGTGTTATTTAATGCAGACAAAAATTTTTATTGCTGGTAATATTTTGTTTTGTCAAAAATCTGTTTCTGGTAATATATTTCCTTCAAAATTGTATTGTTGGTGATATTTTTTTTCAAAAAAGTATTGCTGGTAATAGTTAACTATTTGTCCATAGCTGGGACCCTAACAGGTGCTACCACCCTGGGTCAGGGTGGACATGGGAACACCAGCAATTAAGAGGTGGTTCCACGCTCCTCAAAACCTCCTGATCAGAAGCCTTACTGCTGGACGTAGTTTAACGTCTTACCCAGGACGCGGATGTAGTTTAACGTCTTACCCAGGACGCGGATGTAGTTTAACGTCTTACCCAGGACGCGGATGTAGTTTAACGTCTTACCCAGGACGTGAAATTCAAAGGGAGACATACAAATAAGACTGACAACAATATACTTTATTCACTTGGCTTCGTAGACCTGGAAGAGACAAATTGCAAACTTTTTTTCAAGGAGGGCTGCATCATTATCAGCTCTGTGTAAAGTGTTTGTTTTTTTAAATCATTTCACCCTAAGCAAGGCAATAAAGCCTCTAAGATGCACAGTTACTTAGTGTGAAAGAAGATGCGAAAATGAAAAAAGATTAAGAAGAGAGAACAATAAAAGAACAGGGATTAAAAAGACAGAAGATAACCATTCCACTTGAAGATTAACGGTGGCTGGAAGAGATTTTCACAAGTGTGAAATGCGAGAGAAGGAACAGGTGCGGTTACATCGAGCAATTTCAATTGTAAAATCATGAGACCTATCTGCCAGTCTAGTACTGCCCTTAAAGTCGTAAAGTCGAAGAGGAATAATTACCATGAAAATATTTATAGAAAATCTTAAGTTATTTACATACCCTTGGGTTTCGAATAAAAGAGTAGTACAGAATAAGCAGGGATGTTGGAAATTTATCGCAATACAATAACAACACTAGACTTTTTGAATTTAAGTGCAGTATTAGATTGGCGGAAAGGTCTCATCATTTTACCGTTTAAATGCTTAGATGTAACCATTAGTATTATACTAACAGTTTCTTCTCAAGCATTTTTCGCTTGTGGAACTTTCTCTTGGCTTCTTGCTTCCCTCTCAACTTTGATCTTCAAAACTTTTAATGCAATTTCATTCGTTATCTTCTGTCTTCTTAATTGTTGTTTTATTGTTTCCTCTCCATAATAGCATAATTTTCTCAAATTCTATAACACTCAGTAACCCTTTATGTCTTAGTGGCATTATTGCCTTGCTTGGGGTGAAATGATTTTCTTAAAATTATTTATTTGTTTATTAAACACATCTTGGGAACAGACTGTTCAAATATATAAGGAATTAGTTTTATATTTAATACATTTACTATTATTAATTAGATTTGTAGAGCTGCGAAAAATATTTTGCAGTTATAAGAAATTCACAATAAACCTCGTGAGACGTTTATTAAGATGCGCAGAAATGATGTTACGTTTATATGCAACTGGAATACAAACAGGCACCTAGATCCTATGTACACACAGGCACCTAGATCCTATGTAAACACAGGCACCTAGATCCTATGTACATGCAGGCACCTAGATCCCTACATCTAATCACTGGTCATTGACATTGGGAGGTAGCGATCCAGTTGCGATATCTCCTGATTTATTAGGGAAGTAATTTTCCTGAGAACTGAGGTGTTCTGTTCTCTTTGTTCCTGTTTTGAAATAGATTACTGTTTTGTGCCAAAAATACAAAAAAAACGATTATGTAAAAATAATGTTGGCCGCATGAAATCAGGCGTTGGAAAAAAAAGAATTTCCACCATTCCCACTTATTCTGTACTCCTCTTTTATTCAAGACCCGAGACTATGTAAATAACAAGATTTTCTCATGCTTCCATTTAACCGGAACCTCATTGTTTTTGACAGATATTTCACCACCAAGCAAATTCCGTTTGCACACGGCACGAAATCGTGGCTTTCTTTTTCCTTGCCATCGTTTGGTTTAATGCCTTCTTTAGATTGGTTCGTTTTGTTTCTCGTTCTATCGTTTTTATTTATTCTTGTTTTGATTATTTTCTTTAGCTCTTATCTTCATTTTGTTTCTTATTTATCTTTCCTTTCTTCTTTTTGCTTCTTTGTCTTCTTTCTTATATAGTTTTCTATCTTTTATTTTACTTCCTGTCTCTTTACTTTGTTCCTGCTTTCCTTCTCTTTCTTTTTTTCCTGCTTCGTTTTTTCCATTTTTTTTTATTTCCTATTTTATTTTTTCTTTTCTTTTTATCAGTTATCTTTGTTTTTTGTACAATTAGCTTTCTTTTTGGCTTTAAATTTTCTTTATTTTCTTCCATTTTCTTCTATATTGATCTTTCTTTTTACTTAACTTTACTTTCTTTCTTTCTTTCTTTCTTTCTTTTTCATTCTTATTTCTTCTTCCGTTTTATGTTCCGTTTCTGTATTCTCTACTTATTCTTATTATTTTCTCTTTGCTTTTTCATTTTTATACTTTTTTTTTCGCTTTTTATCTTTACGTTTTTTTTTCTCTATCCTACTTTCCTTTATTTCTTTTTTAATTATTTTGATTTCTCCTTCAATTTTGTTCTTTTTTTAGCTTTTTTCTTTTCCTTCTTCTTCGATTTTATTTCAATTTTGTTTTCTCTTTCACTTTTCTTTCTCTCCTACCTTCACGATTTTCTTTTCTTCTGTCTTCTCATCTCCATTTGTTTTTCTCGTTTTCCTTTATTCTTATCTACCTCTTTTTCTTCCTTACCCCCCCCCCCAACCCTTTATTCAACTAATTCTTTCAATTATGTTTTCCTTCGGGGTGTTTTGAGAAACATGTTCTGAAACCAAGCGAACAATCCTCTTTCTTTTCAGTAACGTTACGACTTTTGGCACTGAGTCACATCACGTGATAATCAGTCACGATTATGAATTCTCGGTAAATCTCGTACACAGGTAAGTATCGTGAGATTAAAACATGCACTGAAAAAAGAAAATAACGAGAAAATAAATGAATGTGAAAAGCGGAATTGTGGGAATTGTAATCCAAACTTCTATCTTTAAAACTTGAGGTGCTCAAGAAACGCCTAGGGATAAAAATCCTTGTTAAAGAATCGATCATTTTTATTTGTAATTTTCTCGGGGTAAGAAGAAAGAAAAAAATGGAGGACAGAACATTAATAAGGGAATATTACGCCATTTTATTTTCTTTCTCGCGATTGATTGTAAATCGAAATTCACATGTAAGTAAACATGAATGTCTATTGTGTATCTACATGAATAAAAAGCGGTTAATATATTGTTAAGTGTTTGAACAAACAGAAGCGCGCTCGGTCATCCGTGAATAAAACGCAGTCATGTTTTATCCCGTTGACTTGACATATCTGGGAAGGATATTAGAATAATCCAGAATCTTTATAAGAGCCAGTTCAGACTGAAAGTGGAGTATTGTTGCCATATTTGAGCGGTAGCTTCCCAGTCCTCACTTTCCAGTCTTGATAGCTCGTCTACAGTCACTCTCTCAAGACGCGCCGTCGCCTCTCTCTGTCTTTTCTACAAATACTTTCATGGCAATTGCTCCGATGAGCTGCTTTCACTGGTTCCCAGACTCCATGAATTCAAGCGCCCTACGAGGCTGGCATCCCGCTCCCACGCTAACACTGTAGAAACTTTTAAATGTAGCCGTCTCTTCTACTCCAATAGCTTCATACCTCGCACCTCTTGCCTGTGGAACACCCTTTTCAATTACTGTTTCCCTGAGAGCTATAATCTCCAACTATTCAAATGTAATGTCAGTCGACATCTCCAGTTACCTTGATCTACCCACTATCCTTCTCCTCATCCTTCCTTCTATCACTCCTATCTGATCTTACTCCAAATCTTCCGCAACCCCCTGCATTCTAGTGGCTTCACGCTTTGCTCGGGGCCTAATCCAACCTCTCTCTCTCATAGGCGGGATGTGGCGAGCTTCTCACGGCTCTATCGCTACTTCCATGGAAAGTGCTCGCACGAACTATATTCCTTGGTTCCAGAAGGTCTAATCTTCACGGCTAGGACACGCCATGACCCTTATATTGCAGCAAACCACCCACATTCTCTCTGTATTCCATCGGCAAGAAATAAGTTCTACTCAAATAGCTTCTTCCCGCTAACTACAGTGAAACAGAGTGCCAAGAGGATGTTTTCCCAACCAAGTACAGTCTTAACTTGTTCAAGTCTAGAGTTAACCATTATGTTCCTCTCCTATCCATATAAACTAACACTTATCATAGCCCTCTACCTCGAGTGGTCTTCGAACCTTGTACAACGTGAAACTTACTGTATAAAACATAGTGCGAGAAAACTGCCTGCATACGGATAGTTATATAGTACATATATAGAAATAGAAAGGGGTATAAAACAATGATGTGTCTTCTCACCGCCCTTATTCAGCTTATACAGTGATGCGATTCTAGAATTAGAAACCCCAACCTGGATTCTTTATTGGCAGCCACAATCTTAAAAATGTATGATGTTCAAAGGACACAGTGCTGATAGCAGACACTGAAAGTAAATTACAGGAATTACGATAGAAAGTAGCGAAGATAATCGAGAAGGAACCAACTGCAAAAAAAAAAAATAAAATAAAAACCTACAATGAATGGTTGTCGACAAGGAACAGATCAAAATGATAAATTAAAAATTGGAGATACCAAAATCTAGCTAATACAAAAATTTAAAGATCTAGGAAATGTTTTAACTGAGAATGGAAAGTGTGACACTGAAATCTGAATGCTCATTGGGATAGCGAAAGATGCTTTCCAAAAGCTAAGCAAAGGATTTTATTTTAATTTCATTTCAAATAAAAGAGTTCTGAACTGTTACGTAATATTAGTCCTTCTATATAGCAGTGAATGCTGGACAATCTTCTTACAGATAGAGACAAGAATGGAAGCAACAGAAATGTGGTTCTACAGAAAAATGCCGAGAATATCATGGACCGAACATGTATGCAACGGTGAAATTCTAGAGACAATGACGCTAAAAAGGACACTTCTACATGAGTAAGTGTCCTATTTTGCTTCCATTTTTCTTACTCTCCCCCCTCCCTCTCTCTCTCTCTCTCTCTCTCTCTCTCTCTCTCTCTCTCTTCTTATATTCATGTGTATATTATCTTGCATCCCCACACTTTAAGTCACTGTTTTCTTGGGATCTTTATTTTCTCTCACTTCTTCTCTTATTTTCTTATTCACTAGCTCACTCCCTCTTATGCATGCATTAAATTCCATTCCTACTCTTGAAGACTGAGTTCTTTCTCTTCTCTCTCTTTTTCTTAATCTCTCTCTCTCTCTCTCTCTCTCTCTCTCTCTCTCCCTCTCTCTCTGTTCTGCATATGTTAACCTTCATTCCCACAATTTAAGGGATTATCACTTCGAGTCTTTATCTTCATTGACTCCCTCTTCTTTTCTCATTCACTAGCTCTCTCTCTCTCTCTCTCTCTCTCTCTCTCTCTTACTTTCTTACTCTCCCTCTTACTCTCTTTTATATTAGCTTCAATTCCCGCTTTTTAAGGATGTATCCTCTTGGTCTTTTTCTCGCCTCTTTCACTCCCTCTCTCTTTCTATTATTCACTAACCATTTCTCTTCATCCCACCCTCTACGTATTCGGCCTTTTTCAATCTCTATTAAATGCTGAAAAGATGAAGCCCTGTTTACAAGTAATCCTAAGGGATGGGAAAATGTCACCATAATTTAACTGATACTATCCGAAAAATTCTTCTATATACACGATATTTACAGATTCAAAATGACCCCAGCGGGAATATCAAGAATTTAAACCATCCTGACTCCTTTGTTTGAAAGGAAAAGGTCCTTTGTCACAAGTTTCAAATGGAGACGATATACGACAAAGTAGGTCAATAGTTACTGACTGATTTATTGACATTTACTAAACTCGGCTGAGTATGACATACGGTCAGATGGAGGTCGGTGTAATGGACTGAGAAGAATGCTTTGCGATCACCTTATATAAAAAGTTGTTCGTGGGGGATGTCAAGACTTGTCGAGGTTAGCAATGAGTATAACAACTCTAGTACTGTAGGAGAGTGGCTATGTCCAAGTGTTTTCTCAGCCAACTTTTTTCGTCAATCAACTCGATGTAATAAATATTTGTTTCAAAGAAATCTTTACAAATTCTAAAATTGCAACATACAGAGCCGATATACTTGTTTATTTACCGGTAGAATTTTATATTTACATCATTATAAAAACTAAGACAATTTAAACTAATGCAATATTTATCATTTACCAATTTATAAAGAAATGGATTTGAAAACGATTTTTTTTTTCATAAATTTATAAACATTTATTAATTATTATTATATGGGAACCAACTATCATCCTTATTATTTACCATTTTGTAAGTTAAATCAATTTATAATTAGTCGATGTTTTGATAACCATTCCAAATGATATAATAAATAAATAATGTAATAAACAATCTAATAAATAGTATTTATCGTACCTTTCAGATGGTGTGCAAGCCAGTTACCCAAATTACACGACCGGAGAGGATGCCATCCGGATTGGGAGTCTTGGGTAGTTCTGTCTAACTCTCGCTATCTTATCAACATTTGCTTTTTATATCCATACGTTCCAAATTAAACCACGCACAACTAACTATTAAAGGATGGAAAAAATGTCGAGGATTTTGACGTCATTCTGGTGTTTTCTTTTTTCGTCCAAATTCGTCTATTTTTTTTGCACATACTGAGTCTCATAAAATACGATATAACACTCACTGTTTTTATCCATAATGTTGAATGTGTTAAAATTATTCAACATTTTAGCAAGAAAAATCTCAAGTTGATATTAAAATTTGTCACAAAAAATTTAAGATGGAATGATCTATTATGACATGTCTCTAATTTGTATTTAGATAGATTGTATTTATTTTCATTTTTCTCGTTGAATTGTTCACATATATTGCTCTATGATATATTAATTAGATTACAATAAAATTCTTATTTTCAATGAATACTACCTTATGAAAATTAAGATTAGCGGGCCCCGTATCACAAATTCAGGGAGGTGTATCATAGATTCAGTGGGGAGGGACGTGACATTGCACCACCCCTGTATATATATATATATATATATATATATATATATATATATATATAGGGAGAGAGAGAGAGAGAGAGAGATTGCTTGTGGTATTAAACTGATGGTCACTATGCGTTGTTTCATACTACAGATTGATTGTTCAGTGCTCATAGTCGTAGCATATTTTCCAGTGCATATATTGGTCTACTCTATAATGCCGAGTTTTATATCCAGTTGGTGCTAACACTGTGCAACTTGATACAAGTTGTCAATTTATCCCAGAATCTGCCTTTGGGATCAACACAATTTTTCAATGTGTGTGTGCTTCGTAATTTCTAGGTCCCAAGCATTTGTCCTGTGCAGCAAAAATAAAACCTTCGGTTTCAGCTTTTAACCCTGCACAACGTAAACATCGCTGGATATTGGGGGTTTTCTACATCAGTTTGTTTGATACAGGCAGAGTATTGACAATGAAGAGGCTTTATTATTATTATTATTATTATTATTATTATTATTATTATTACAAAATCATTCAAATTGTTCTCTCATTGTCAGCTGTTCAGAGTAGGAAATTCAAGAGCAGTTCGCATACGAGGGTTGCTGATGAGTTCATAGGCTGATTCCTAAAGAGTAAAATCTGTGAAATCTTGCATGTATTAATTGTAACTCTTCTTATTAATAACGGCATCGGTTATTTCCACGTAAACTGACATTTCGCCGTGAAAAGAAGACAGTTCATTCTGTTTATCAAAAATGTCATCAACAGCAGATATAACGTCCACATAAATGCGATAATGGTTCACAATCAAATTTTTTTTTTTTTGTAATTTCGGGGAACAGATGTTAGTCAGATCATGATAATGGGAGGTGATTAACCAGTTCAACGCCACAGTCACGCACATCAGCCATTGAAACCCAGGACTTGTCTTCATATGTAAGAAACACAACCACATTCGTCAGTTGGGCGTTTTGTTTTGATAGCATTTCGCAGTTCCCTCAGTAAGTTGACATTGTACTCTCCATTGATGGTGTAGCCCCTTCTGAATAAATATGAATATTTTGGAGCCAAAATAACTGACACTTTCACCTTCCTTGCAGGTGAAATGACTTTGGCTTTATTTTGAACAGTTTAGGGAGGGGGGTTGTCTTCTTTTGTCTCTCGCTCGAGGTGATGAACCCAACTCTTATCATGGATTAGGAAAAGTTCAAAGAAACCACTTGGGTCTTCTCAAACAATGTCAGATCTTCAGGTGATGTGATCAGCCTATGCGTTTTTGATCCGGTTTCAGAAGGCGTGGCACCAACCAAGTAGAAACCTTCGTCATATTCTGCAGAATATTCTCAACTCTCTCGTGAGATATACTATTAGAATCGGCTATTTGATTTATAGCCAGTCGCATTTCATCCATCGCCATGTCATAAATACGATCACCTTGCGGTAGTGATTCGTCGGTGGTTGCAGTTGCAGAACGTCCAAACCATGGGTTGTCTTCAAGACTCTCTGTCTTCCCTCCGAAATTCAAGTGCCCACTTTTTCATTAATGCATGCAAGATTTCCTAGCTTTGGCACCCATCCATCAGTCTATGAAGTTTTCAGTCCACCTTCATAATAACAAAATTAAAGTTATACAATATACCCTGTCTGAAGTTATTAAGCAAATCATATCAACTTCAATAAGTCAAATTTGGTTTGAAAAAACTTATCAAATTTTAAACAATCAATTTAGATGTCAAAACAAAGCCTGAGTTAAAATTTTCGGTATTATCAATATGTTATTGAAATTGTTTCATATATTCTAAAAAAAAGCCGCCGTCTGAAGTTATTAGACAAAACCTTATAATCACATTTTACTTCAATAAAATTTAATAATATCATCAAAAATTGATCAACACCCACAATAGAACAAATAACAAACACATGATAAGTTTTTGAATCCTTTACATTTTAATACAGTGATTTTCTTCTTAATAGAAGATAGTAATCTATTATCTATTGATTTTTTATTTATTTATTTATTTATTTTTTTGGCTTCAGCAGGTCCAATTTCAGAGAAAGTAATTTTAATTGCTTCCCATAGGTCTGCTTTGTTGTTATATTGTTTGCCACCTTCATATAATTTCAACTTCACAATTGGCCATAGATTTTCGATCGGATTCATATCAAAACTTGATGGTGGCCATTCCATTATCTTCTTTCCTGTAAATCCTTTATGCTAAAATAATTCACGGGTAAGCTCATGTCTTGTTCATAAAATCACAATAGCACTATTCAGTTTAACTGCTTCATCTATTTTGAATGGTCCAATAATGGTTTGGTCGACAATACCAGTCCATATAATAACACTACCGTATCCTTGTTGCCTTCTTTTAGTGACAGGCACACGTCTGAGTTGGATAAAGACATCCTTTGGCCCATCCATCAGGTCCATCGAATGTCACTCAAGATTCGTCCGTGAAAATTACTTTAGAAAAGTCAATTTTCATGTATTTCTTGGTTCCATTTTGACGTTTTCAAATATTTGCTTTAGTAACAGGAGGTTGCCTTGGAGATTTTTGACAGATCCCAATTCCCAAAGTATTCTACACATTTTGTCCTTCTTGACTTCCTCAATTCCAGCCTTTTCAAAGATCTGGGCGCTGGTTTTTTTTTTTTTTTTGTTTTTTTGTTTTTTTGTTTTGCTATAAATCGCTTTAGTTTACGTTCATTTCAAGGGACCAAATTCTTACAGCCTTTTTTATTTGCTTCTTTATCGTTTGATGATCTCTGCAAAGATTCTTTGATATCTCCAACGTGGACATTCCCTCAATTTGTTATTTTTTTCAGCATGTGTTAGATACTTCTCTTTACCCATGTTTCAAAATATATTCTGGACAAAAATTTGATGTGATTTTTTTTGGCTAATATTAGTTTAATCTGAATATTAACTTCAGTCAGCCCATTTTCTTAAATTCCAAATATCTCAAAAACTAACCATTTAAAATGATAGAAAATTTAATTAAATATTTTACTAAGGGTGGAAATGGACGAGTTTAAATTTGACAGATATGTTTCAGAACCTTTTGAGGTATCGGAGTTTATTTGTTTTGCATAACGTCAGACAGGCTTACTGAAAATGTTGCTTATACAGAAATTTTAAAAGAGGTAAGACAACTTACATTTCTCTATTCATCGAAACGTCTATTTTGCTAGTTTAAGTGTAAATCTAGACTTTTTAACATACTATAACATTCAAACTTCCAACCATCATTTTTTTTTTTTTTGTTTTAACTTTAATTACGGTAGGTTTTATTGCTTCCGAATATAATCATGTAACCAGTCAGCAATAAGTCACTTTTCCGTTCTTTACTTAGGTGCCTATACACAACAAGGGCACCGCCATTCAATCGCAGTGGAAGAATCCGTTCAATCTTCGTTATCTTGCATAATTCGCAGACCAGTTCCACCTTTTCGATCCATTCAACCACAGAATGTCCACTCGTATCACCACTGAATTCGGGGATCAGTTTTATATCGAACGGTCTTTCCGCCATCTTGCGAGAGACAAAGTAAATGCCGAAATAGCTTGTTGTGCTCCGAGCCGGAAGTGACAACAGTCACCCTACGTTTAATAAATGCAGTTGCAATGCGGATCCACCCGCCCACGGGAAAATGTCCCACCAGCTTTCCACATAACGAAAACACGCTGCGTCGGGTCATGTGTTTGGAAATGTCCGGGAGCTCGCTTCCACGTTTCCAGTAAAGCATGTTGTGCTCCCCCCCCCAGACCTGCAAGACGAGCACACGAGCACCATCCTCCAGTCATTCTGGGTTCTTACATTCGAGCCCAAAGTCAGCAAGATGCTTTCTCACCTGTGAAGCGGGTACAAAGGTTTCGTTGATGTAGATGTCGTCAATGTAAGCTGACGTCGCTTGACGAATTGTCTCATCCTGGGATAGCACAGCATCCACGATGGCTTTCATGATGGCCGGCGCTACATTGAGTCCGAATCCCATTCGGGTTAAACAGTATCTGGATCACCGTCTGAAATGGCCACAATGACCGGTGCACGCATACCTGCAAGTAGGCTTTTCGAAGGTCAATCACAGAGACATTGGATCCCTTCGTTCGCCATTCTCTCAATTTTTGCGCACACACATCAGCATGAGCTGTGTATGTGTCTACATGTTCGTTCAGTTCTCTTTTTCGTCGATCATGACTGCACGGGCTCTGGTCAACAATTGATTGAGCGTCAGGTCTTCCATTCTGGATGATGCGCGGAGTATCTGCTTAACATGACTGGGCAATCCAGAAACGAAGGCACATGTCATCCATTCTTCAATTCCAAACGCGGTTAGTAGAGCGTGCTTTATTTGCTCAATGTAACTGTGGTTGACCTTCGAAGGCCTAATTGCAGGTACGCGTGCACCGGTCACTGTGGCCATTTCAGACGGTGATCCATTATGGAACACTGCTTCCTAGCAGCGATTCTTTTGATGCTCCGACGACATCGCTCGATTATGCCATTCCCTGATGGGACATACACGCAGCGAAATCTGAGGTGTACTCCCCACAAATCCACAAAATCTTTGAACAGTCCACTGCGGAATGCAGTGTCGTTGTCAGTGAGGAGTTCTGTCGGAGGTCCACGTTCAAACAACAATGACCCCAAGTGGTCAATGACGCTTGCGGAATCCTGTCGACGCAGACGCCGCTTGGGTTGACGAGGTAAGTCGCCGTTTTCTTCGCTATAAGATTTTTGCTGACTTCTTTTTGGTAATTCTTCTTCGGTCGATCGCACACAAAACACGAACTTTTTTTCCGGGGTACCTGATTATTACTTTCACTACAAATCATTGTTTAGGTAACTTCCATTTTTATAAACATCTTTGTAATGATGTACCATAAGTTTTTGATTGGCTTAATATCTGAAAAAACTGGGATTCATTCAATTAATATTGTATCTTTGAAACTGATTTTTGTGGCAACGCAAGTTGGGCAATAGTCAGCTTTACAGAATATCAAGGAATATTATTTTGCATAAATACTCGTCAGATGAAAGCAACTAAATAGTAACCTACCCCAACTCGAAGAAAGATTGTCCAAGAACTTGCAATAATTATCTGCAATTATCTTAGCATAACCATCAAGATTAACATACTTGCCTGAATAGCAAAACATATAAGGATAATTCCAAATCACAAAATGTATAACAAAATTTATTTCGATACATCAATTGTGAAAAGACCTAAATTTTTATTGTGTGCAATATTAATTCAAAACGTTAGTCAAATTCCACTAGCATCTTCTAAGTCGTTTTGGTTGACCGCTTCTATGAAGGCCCCCAACTGTGGGATCTATCCAATGTAGGTCTACATACATCATTTAGTCAATGTTCTGGGATATTTTGCTTCGGTTACATTCAGAACACTAGATTCTTTAACCATTTATTTGCTTGCCAATCCATTCTACTTTATTGTCTTTTCAGAGTTTTCTTCAAATCACTTTTTGGGATATTATTCAAAGATATTTTTGCTTTTATCTTGCCAATGTTTTCAGTTTATTTTTATTCTTTTTTGTCTTTCTTCATCTTCTTCACAATTCCTGAAGTCACTCGATACCTTTACAATATCTTCTTTCCCTTTTGAAGTCATCCTTTTCTTATTATTCAGGGTTTATATACACATACACACACACACACACACACACACGCACACACGCACACACACATACACACACACACACACACATATATATATATATATATATATATATATATATATGTATAATCAAACAATACATTTATATTTATCCTATAAATTTAAGGATATTTAGAAGATTTTCCAACATCTGTTTGTTACTATCAATTTTATCATGAAATCATCGACTTGCATTCTAAAGTCTAACATTAAATCTATCTATCTATCTATCTATCTATCTATCTATCTATCCAAACTCTGTTTATATCTATATATCAATAAGTCTGCCTATTGCAATTTCTTGTGTCTTATTTTCTCCTGATGATTACTCACCCGCTTTCCCCCTCGTCCTGCCACCATACTAATAATCTCTGTTCTTATGCAGAGACACCAGGCGCCATTTTGTCGTTCTTTTCCTGCTCATAACCAACAACAACTAACATGGTGAATGACAAGAGGCGAAATTGCTGGCCACTTCGCATTTTGTTGGTTGCTCGTATTTTGTCTCCTCTTGATTGGTTTCGAAATTCAAACCCCGTGAATATTGAATGAGCCGAGAAAAACGATCAGCGAAGGCCAATCAGGTGAACCAATTTCCCGTATCTTTCTGCCTTCAGAGAAATACAAGAAGAATGCACACTAACCTGTGTAGGTTTTCATACATTTGAAATTGTCTGTCTTCTACAGCTACACATAGATAGATAGATAGATAGATAGATAGATAGATAGATAGATAGATAGATAGATAGATAGATGCAAGTTGGTAATGAAAGTTTCTTGGCCTGACCCACTTCACAAAATCTGAGGCTTATTTTGTCACATTTATTTGCAGGATATTTTCGCCTATTTTTTTAATGTTCTAACGGAGAACGGAAAACGCAACATTGAAATCCATAGACATACTGGAATGGCGAAAGATTAATTCCAAAAGCTAAGCAGAGTATTAAGAAAAAGAAAAAAAATTCTTAGAAACAAAGAAAAGAATATTGAACTGTTACGTGATATCTGTTCTCCTTTATAGCAGCAAATGCTGGACAATTTCAGAGATAAAGATGAAATTTTTATGTTTAACGTTGTTTTTTATAGATACAAGTATTTAAGTAAATGCTCTGTTTATGATAAACAGTATTAAATAACATTTACCGGCCTGAATATCCTAGAAATTTTCATAGAAAATATTCGTTCTTTGACAGGATTCGAACTTGTATCCTATACAAAACCGTCATTTACGTTGACGTGCCTTACCGTTCGGCTACAAAGAATCGTTCGGTAGATAAGGTCGAATTGACTGCTTATAAACTTCAATCTTCCGTGAATCTCGTACATTCATAACTGCTCTGGCGTATCAAATGTAAACAAATGACGTCATATATTAAGAAATGGACAAGGTCCGACAATTTATTTATTAAAGACATTTTATGTTTAACGTTGTTTTTATAGATACAAGTATTTAAGTAAATGCTCTGTTTATGATAAACAGTATTAAATAACATTTACCGGCCTGAATGTCAAAATTTTCATAGAAAATATTCGTTCTTTGACAGGATTCGAATATTTCTATGAAAATTTCTCGTCCATTTCTTAATATAAAGAAGAAACTTGAAGGACAGAATTGTGGTTCTAAAAAGAAAACGCTGGGGATGGACGAAAAATGGAAACAAAAGGAAACTTATACTTAACACCAGGAAGAGGTTTGAAATTTTGGTTGAACATAATGAGGAAAGGGGCTTGGAAAAGCTGATACCCACAGGACAGATTGAGAGAAAAGAGTGATAGTGGAAAGCAACGCGAAACATAGAAATGAGCCAAGTGGATGATAGGAGAGACTTTGGGAGAAATAACAAAATTATTAATAGTCAGGGGGGAGGGCCTTGATCGACTACATCCTGAAGTGGCACAGCACATTAGAGAGAAGAAGATTGAGGGTACAATTTTACTGAAAAATTTTGAAAATTATCAAGTGTTGAATTCTAAACCACCAGGAAATTCCTGATGCAAGTATCTTTTTCTTCCTCCTCTAGTTGCCGCCTCCCTTCAGGACATGGGCGATCATAGATCTCCACATCTTCCTATCTCGTGTGACTCTTAACATTGTGTCTCCTTTTGCTTAAAGCCCCCACCCTTGTTATACAACAACACATTCACACAAGCTTCAAGTTGTTCGCTGCCTTCACCAAATCATCTTTCATCAATATGCCCCGTCGTTAAGTTTTCCAAGCCTTCCTTTCTCCTTATGTGTCCAATAAATTTCAGCTGTCTCTTTTTTATAGTGAGTATAAGTACAGTTGCCATTTTGATATGCTTACTCGCTTCATGAAACCATATTTCTGTGGCCTATGTTTTATTCGTCATTCGTGGAAAAATTGTTTAAAATTCCCCGAAAAATAAGAGGACAGATGCTACATAGTAATCAGTTTTCATTTCTTTGTTTCTAACAATTTTTTTTCTGTTTCCTATCACCTTTCTTAGATTTTGGAAAGCCACTTCGCTAATCCAGTGCGTGTTCGGATCTCGATGTCACATTTCCTGTTCTCTGTTAAAACGCTTTCCAGAGGGTGAAAAGAAAAAAAAACCCATCAAACTCAATTGCGATGAAGCAGTTTGGCAACATCCGGCGTGGAGACTTTAAAACCCGAAATGATGCAAGATATGGGAGATCTTCACTGGCATCACCTCCTGGAAATGTTGATCATGTTGATGACCTAATTTAGGGCGATCATGAAATCTCATTCAAAAGTAAGGTTGAGACATTAGAAGTATGCCGAGAATGTATTGGCTTTATAATTTACCATTGGCTGGTGATTAAGTGGTTATCAGCCAAGTGATTGACAAAATGTTTGAATGCCGACCAGAAATGGCATCGAGTGCAAACCTCTAAGTTGAATCTATAGCATTTGTAACAATTTTTTGGAACGACTTATCACGATCTTTATTAATACTAAAGTACCCGCTACAGTTCAGGGGCCATTTATTGTACAGGAGGAAGCCTGCCGTATGAACATAAGAGGAGGTAGAAGGAAATGAAGATTGTGAACTTAAAGAAGATAGATAACGATTAACCCTTGAAGAGTTTAATATTATAATGCTGAGGAAAGCATCCACGCGGGAGTCTCTTCCATAAAGTACTAGTTTTCACGAAAAGCTGTCTGAGTGAAACTTCCTTCCTACAAGTGAAATATCTGGGAAATGTGGGTTATTCGCAGTTTTAAAAGTTTGAATAAAAGATACTAAAGGGTGGATCTCATCTGAACAGCTGCCATAGAAATAGTGATAGTCTTGCAACATTGTGTCTATGCGGAAAGAGGCTGTAGAATGGGAAATAAGTCACCCTTACAAGACCGCGTAAATGATTTTAAACTCTATCAAATCTGGAAAGGAAAGATCGAGCAGCTCCAATCTAGATATGGCAACAGTACTCCATTGTTGGTCTAATGTTGCATGTTACACACCTAAAACCAGTCCAGTCTGGGGGTCACGTGTTTTCGATGGCTCGTTAGATTCGGCTCAGGAAATGGTGTGAATCGAATTTAATGTCAACAAGGAACCATTGTTACATATGATATGCTATCATGAAAACGTGTCCTTTGCATAACGGTAATTTCATAGTTTCAATGAAATAACTTCTTCCTTTGTTTTTTTATTCATTACCATCTACGGAACCAAGTTTTGTTCTAGCGTCTTAGGAAAATATCTCGTTGAAACACCGGTTCTCGTCAGATCAACGAAGTTGAGCAATGTCGAGCCTGGTCAGTACTTAGATGGGTGAGCAATTGAGAATAACAAGCTCGGGTGTGCATTGTGCAGTTTGCGCAACGAGTGAGTCGAGTTCGAATTCCAGCAGCGTTAGTTGCATTCACATACATCAGTCATAGATCCTATCCCTAGGCTATCGTCGCATGGCAGAGAGAAAGGGAAATTTTAACGTTTTCTATACGAAATACGCCAGTGTCTCGGAGAGCTCAATTCAGTTGAAGAGCCATGCGTTAATAGCAGTAGGAGCCACTGTTTTTAAACTTAGACTTCTCTCAAGTGAACTCAACCGGATTTTCCGAGAGCATATATATATATATATATATATATATATATATGTATTATATATTAAAAAAAACAGACCACTTTAAGTGGTCTGTTTTTTTTTTAAATATTAGCTCTGGATTTACATTGAGCTCTCAGGATTTCATCGTCCTTGGGATTACTCATACGGATTACCAAGTTTTCATAACTTAATTATTAATTAACTATATTTCTTCATATATATATATATATATATATATATATATATATATATATATATATATGAGACATTTTTTATGTTTATACATTCTTTTTATAGATACAAATGTTTAAGCAAATGCTCTGCTTATAATAAACAGTATTTGTTGTTAATAAAACATATCATAAACACAGCATTTACTTAAATATTTGTGTCCATAAAAAACAATATATAAACATAAAAATGTTTTTAAAATAATTGTCGGACTTTGTCCATTTCATAATGTGTAACATATATATATATATATATATATATATATATATATGTGTGTGTGGGGGGTATGACATTAAACATTGGAGTGAACCCTTAATTACCATTGCTCACAGGTTCACCTTGTCCCGGCGTGATAGTACCTGTTTAGGTAGCCAGCTATGCTTTAAATAGCTATAACATACCAGGAGAAGATGGAGGACAAGGACAGCCTGACGTAACAAACTGCCTCGTTGTCACCGTCCCAACTTGCTAGGCCATGGCAGATGAACCACGGATTAAAGTTTGGTCCCAGTACTGTGTACACTGCACTCCACCTAAAAACTTCAGGTATTTAAGCAAATCAAATAAATAAAGTAAAATAACTGAAGTAAAATGAATAAAAAATAATAAATTTGTCTCCTAATTAAAAATTAAAAAAGCGTTAAAAACCTTAATTAAACTTGGCAAGTGTTTGATTGTTCTTAATAAAAAAAAACCTTTTTGTGTGCATGGTTTACGGAAAGAATGTGGGTGGTCTGCTAGTATGTAAGTGGCATGGCGTGTCCTTGCCGGGAAGGTTTCAATTGACGTGACCAGCTAACACTTTCCGTGGAAGTAACTATAGAGCAGCGAGAGGCTTGCTACCTTCCACTTCTGAGAGAGATGTTGAATTTGTAGGTTTGATGAATTGGATCGTATTTACGATTCCAATGGAATAAATTATGACCATGGAATATTAGTGTTTAAGCCTTTTATTATATATATATATATATATATATATATATATATATATAATCTTCATCCACTACAAGGTCCAAGAGCAACTCAAATTAGAGGGTTACTACTGCGTAGAGTTATAATTGCATAGGAAAGGACAAGCCTTAGGAGTTTAGAGCTGAAGTAAACTTTAGTTAGATGGAACCGAAACCGAATCCTAATTAGTAAATATATATATAGATATAGATATATATATATATATATATATATATATATATATATATATATATCAATTATCAATATATATATATATATCATCAATATATATATATATATATATATATATATATATATATATATATATATATAATTTGGATCAAATAATTATCAAATATGTATCCATATCCGATAGAATGATAGGATAAAGAACAAAGAGGAAATGTTTATAAATCTAACGTTTTACTGTTATTAAACCTTCATCAGGAAATAAGATAGAAAGAAAGAAATTCTGCTGATTTTATTTTTATGTCGTTTGATTTTCATTTGTTAAGCAGGCTTCACGCGCATTTGATTTGTTAAGCAGCGTTAGTACAGGTTATGCCGTTCTGAACACAAGGCAAGATGTCGCTTACTTTCGAAACTTGTAAAAAAACATATCGGATTCCAGTCATAACAGAACTGTTCCTTATCCTATCACAGACGTGTTCTTTAAAAAAATTTCTATATTTCAAAACATTTTTCCGGTGACATTTCTTTCTTTTTTTGTGCTATGTTCTTTCAGGGCGTGGGCGATCATGGCTCTCACCTACCCCAATCACTTGCAGCTCTCAACAAGTTCCTTCCCTCCGCTTCCTCTCCCAAGCCCTCCTCAAGCCCGCCAGGTATGTCACGCGCAGCTTTCCCTTGTCTCTATTTCCTTCTATTCGAACCGTGGGTATCAGATTCTCCAGGCCCTCCTCCATCATTATGTGTCCCAAAAACTTCAGCTGCCTCTTCCTGATATTAAGTATAACCCTCCTCCTTGTTTGCAATCTCTCTATGATCTCATCGTTGCTCACACGCTCGGTCTATGCTATCCTTAGCATCCTTCTGTAGAACCACATCTCTGTCGCCTCGAGTCTCTTCTTCCGTAAAGGAAAACAGGTGTCACGTATCTGTCTATATTTCTGAGATGAGGTATTATGTACACTATTTACATTATTCGGCCTATTGTCCTCATCTTTATCGCCATGTTTATCACAACGTGGCACGTGGAACTAGAACAGTCTAGCCCAGTGAGCGAAATAAAGAGTTCAGTTCAACATTCCAACCACCTGAAGAAGGCCGGAGCGTACAACGGCCGAAACGTTGTGATAAACATGGCGACAAAGATGAGAACAATAGTCCAAATAATGTAAATAGATGTCGGGTAACAGCTAAGTATTCTTTTCTTTATTACCAAAGATATCCTCCTGTCTCGCAATACTCTGCCAAGCTTTTGGAATGTGTCCTTGGCCAGCCCAATACGTCTACGGATCTCAGTGTCGTACTTGCCGTCCACTGCCAAGACGCTCCCCAAATTTTTCTCCGCGTTCGTTGCGGGTTCCTAGTCCGAATCTTCCTGCTATATCCCCTTTCAATCCGGTGACATTTAGGACTTTAAAAAATCATTGACGAATAATTTTTGTTGCTCTTTAAATAAATTTGTATAAATTAAAAAAAACTGCTTCCCAGATACATGCATTCCAAAGTACATGTTCAAGCTAACCAATACTTTAAACATTAGAGAATTCTCGAAGTATGATTGAAAAGGAAGCAATAATGCTATCTGAAATTGCGTCTGATTTACAAGCAGGTTTCGTGATACCCACTGACATTACTCCGACTCGAATTCACAACCGTTTAGCTTTTCCTCGTTCTGTTCATGAAATAAACTAAATATCTTTGTCAGAAGGAAAATTTTAATGATAAAAAATCAAATATTTTTTTTTTTGACGTAAAATCCTTTTTAACAATTAACGGCGCTAAATCTGTATGTCTTGCTTTGAAGATCAAAAGAAAAGAAATTGTCAGCTTTCCAGAATTAAGGAAAGTGTTTATAAGGGTGCTAGATGTAAAATTGATGATCATTTACTATAGAAATACATTGCAATTGTCAGTGAAAAAAAGGAATTGTCAGATATTAGAAATTGTATTATATCTGTATGATATTAACATTTATTATAGAAATTTAATGTAGATATAGAAGACTCGATTTTCAGAAGACAAAAGGCAACGCATGCAGTACAAAGAGAATAGATATTTTAGGAGATCTATAAATACTCTCATGGTAATCTAATGGTCTTTCACCTATAACACCTAAGTTTTATGAATTTATTTCATAATTGAGTTATCTTTATGAATTTAAGCGCACTACTAGATTGGCAACAAGGACTCATCAATTTGCTAGATCCAACCGTAAGTTCGATGCTAACAGTTTCTTCTCATTTGTGGAACACTCTTCCAGTTCCGTGCTTTCAACTTTGATCTTCAAAACTTTAAATGCAATGTCAGTCGTTATCTATTGTCTTGTTTACTCTTTTACTGTTCTCGTGCTTTAATAATGTTTCTCTTCTTTTTTTATTTTTTTTCACACTCAGTAACCCCTTATGTCTTAGTGGCTATACAGCCTTGCATGAAGTTAAAAGATTAAAAGAAAATATAAGGTATTTTCAGTTAATAAAGTAATTCATTAAGAATTAGTTGTATCATAGAAACCAGGAAATTATCAACGGACCGGGAATTCATGCCATGACTAAAGCCAGAAAAGAGATAATTGAATAAATATGACTCGAAAAATGCATTCCTACAGAAATAATGTGCTGGACGTTTTACTGTAGAAATGAATAACTAATTATTTTCATACAGAAAAGCCATTTGTTCTCAATAGAATAAGGCTATGAGACATGATATATAAACATTGCTATAGAAATAATGTTCAAAACATTTTAGTAGAGAAATACTTTACAAATTATTTTGCTATACAGTCCGACTGAAGTTATGCAAATCACATAAACTTCAATAACACTAATTTGCTTTGAACAACTTTTAAAGGGTTAATTTAGACACTAAAGCAAAGATTGTGTTAAATTTTTAGGTAATTTCAACATGTTTAATTAAGGTTATTGGATTTATTATAAAAACTACAGTCTGAAGTCATTATGCATAAACCATAAAATCACTCATTTAAATAACAATGGAATAAAATCATCAGCAACTGATTAGCATCTATAATCGAACAAATAACAAACATATATGATAAGTTTTTGAAGTATTTATATTTTAATATAGTGACCCTTCTTCTCAATAACGACTAGCGATCTGTTATTCATTGATTTTGTTAAACTTTTGCTTCAGCAGGTTCAATTACTGACATTGTGTTAATAATTTCACCCCAAGCAAGGTGAGAATACCACAAGTACACATGGGGTTACAGAGAATGAAGGTGAGAGAAAAACTGGGTATAGGGGGGCAGGAAAGAATAAAAGCTGAATGGGATTCAAGAAGATAGAAGATGGCGATTGACGTTGCATTGAAATTTTAGAAGATTTTAGAAGATTTTTGATGTCTGGAAGTCCTAGA